TTTCTCTTCAATCTCTCCTCATTTCATAGGTTGCGTACGCATCTAAAGACCCAAAGTGGGAGGAGGGCTTCACCTTCTTTGTGCATAATGTCAAAACACAGCAGCTCATGATTCAGGTTGGTAATAATATTTGTATTTGATGAACCAACTCGTTTAAAGGTGGGGTAGGTAAGTTTGAGAAACCGGCTCGAGGTACACTTTTTGTAACATTCCATGGAATGCTCTTAAAGGTGGGGTATGTAATTTATTTCAGAAACACTTTTTGTGATATTCAATGGAATGCTCTTAACATCCAGATAGCAATGAATATATTACATGCTTTGACAATAAATACATAAAAAAATGTCATCTGTGGAAGCCGTGGTACTGTAAAAAGCACGACCAATCATTTTAGCCGGCGGCTAAAATAACTGGGTGGCCTACCTGCCTGTCAGCCTTCCATCTGTGCACAAACTTATCTCGTGCCCTCATTGGTCATGTGCGCGTTTGTGTGTGTTGGAGGAGGGGCTCTTTAATGAAATGGCCGATTTTTTCCAGCTATGTATTTTCAAATTCTAGCGCATTCAAGCTGGTTTCTCCAAAATTACCTACCCCACCAAAGTTTAATGGTATTGTATAGAAACAAACATTAATTCACATTACTTGTGGTGATTTCCCCCACATTTTGTTCAAACTTAGTTTTACAATTTACATCCAGGTTGAAATCTCCAAGCTGTATGTGTCAATATGTACAGATACTGTGAATTTCTTGTTATTTGATCCAAATGATACCAAAAAAACAAAATCATCAATGTTGTAAATGTTGTTATTCTAGACCTCCATCAATCAGTCATATGTCCTCAAGTGAAATACAATGTTTTTCATTCAGTATTTTATTGGTTTGATATGTTTTCTCCTTGTCCAGGTCAAAGAGCATGAGAAGAAGACTCAGCTCGGTATTTTCAACTTGCCCCTGAGTCGCCTCCTCAACACCTCCGACATGACTTTAGACCAGCGCTTTGTGCTGGAACGCTCCGGAGCCAACAGCCAGATCCAGCTGAAAGCCACTCTCAGGGTGAGTACACAACGTTGGCAAGCACTGGGGCTGGGCAATATAAAGATATACTATTGATATTGTGATATTAGACATGATATCACTTACATTTCCAATATTGTAAGTGTTGTCGTGTACTGGTTTAAAACGCTGCATTACAGTAAAGTGATGTACATTGTGTCACTGACTTAAGCAAGCCATGTTCTCTTCCCTCAATAGATTCTCACTGTTGAGAAGCCTCCACCCACGATTATTCTAAACCCTCCTCCACAAGACAAAAAACAAATGCCACAGACTAACCAAGGAGGTAAGGCTCCTGCATCCACTCCCGCTGTAGCTACATCCTCCTCTGCAGCACTTTCCCCCAACGCCACTTCCACACCCTCAACTGCATCCTGCGACAAACAGAGTCGCTCAGATGAAATCTGGCGGCCGCCACCCTCCACACCAAACATGCGTCGCTATGACTCCCAGAGCCTGTTGTCAGACAACTCCATCGCCTCGTCACGTTTTGACCTTTCAGATGGGGCATCTTATCCAGAGTAAGCTTTGTTCTATTTCCTTTTGTCATAACGCCAGTGCAGTGCACTTCCCTTCAAAAATTGTTTGGACGTAATGAACTTAACTTTGTGGACCCAAGAGTAAGTGGACATATTCATATGTTTTTTACCCATATAGGGCCATCAGCAAACATCAGGGTTCATTTGGGGAGATCCAGCTGACTGTACGCTACGCCAGCCTGAGGAACAAACTCATCGTCCTGGTTAACTCCTGCAGGTAAAACCCAAAAAGCATAACAGGGCCTCTTTAAATGCTGTAACTGAATCCAACATAACAAACCGGAAATGGCTGTGATTTAACATCCATCAGGTTTTCCCCTTCAAATTCATATGGCTAACCCGTTGTGTGTACCTGTTGCTTGTAGGAACTTATTCCGCACCAGTGAGAATGGCACAGACTCTTATGTCCGCCTGTATTTCCTCCCTGACCAAACCTGGATACATCGCAAGAGGACGCAGGCCAAGAAGAGGACAGTCAATCCTGTCTTCAATCACAAGTAAGCTTTTTGGATTCATGACACATTTGCACGAAAGAAAAAACATATTCTTTATTTCTTATTACCAAGGTTAAGCAGTTGCTGTATGTTTACTTCTGATTTGTTCTCTGGAGTTGTTTACTCTAACTCTCTTTCATTGTAGGTTTGAATTTGATGTTTCGCTTCAAGAAGCACAAACCAGGAAGTTGGATGTGTCCGTGAAAAATGGGAAAATGTTCCACTCGCGGGAGAGGAAAGACATTGGCATGGTGGTTAATACTACTTGTGATTCAACATTGTTTATAATGTTAGACGAGGACATTATGCTGAGTCAATCATACAGTCTCTTAATGTCCAGCTTTAGTTTAATTCAATGTTGTAAACGTTGTCTTTTTTTTCTCCCCAAACACACAGTTTATTGCAAAACCAATGTCTTGACCGCTATTGTTGTGCACACTTTTGCAGTTAGCACCTCAGTTTCCATTAGGGACGCACAATGTGAGGAAACTATGTAACAAAGTGTTGAATATTGCAATAATAACAATTCAACTTGCAATAAATAAAAGGATATCATAGTCTTCTAAGTTGGGCTTTCCTGCTGCTTTCAGTATACTGCTGAATACGACAAAAAATAGCTTGTTGAAGTAAAAAAATTAAGAGAATCATTCTTAACATTATTTTGATCTATTGTCGAACGCATCACAAAAAACATCAAGAAAAAAATAAAGATGATTATATTTCCAATTTATTTTCGGATATTTATTTGTAATCAAGTTATTGCAATCGTAATTTAAAAAAAAAACATATTTGTATCAGTATGTGGACTAATTTCCAAGTTATGCTCCCGCTCACAGGTGATGATCGATCTTTCACAGTTGGAATTAGCCAAAGGCGTCACAGAATGGTATGGAATGCAATTTTTCACTTCTCCATGATTTTTGTTAAACATAAGCTGAAGCATTCTGAATTTAAAGATATTTCCCACCGTCATTGTATACATGTCCTGGTCGATAGTAGTCATCCAGTATAATTATATTCATATTTATTTTCCCTTTCCTTTTTAAGGTATGAGCTCACACTGCCTGGCCTGAAGCTGTAAAAGTTCTGTTTGCAGATTTAAAGAGCAGCTCCACAGCCACTGATACAGTAAATATTGGGAGAGGTGCATAGTCCTTTGTTTTCCTTATCAACGTGGACCAGAGTTGGGTTTTCCAAATACACCACTAATCCCATCTGAGATACTGGGTATGTTTTGTTACTGTATTTTAAGGCTCTGCACTCACGTACCTGCACCTACTTAGGGAATAAAGTGTTACAGAAACCCCCTATGATATGACCAAATATTTTTGAGCAGACATACAGCTGCCTATTAGACTACCCAGATTATGCAGCATATCATTTCCCCTTCTTCTTGTTGTTCCTCAAATAGAACTGTTAACAACAGCAAACATGTATATTTTTTTCCTGCTTTGGACTATTCTTATTTTTTTACTTTTGTGTTCCCTACAAAAGAGCACCTTCATTCCACATGTTTTATTTTTTGATGTTCCTGAATAATAATGCTTTTGCTAAGCATGAATTGACCTTGTTATGTAAAAAGAATTACTTTATCAGAGCACGATTGTATTTATACTTCACAAGAAACAACATGATTATGTAATTTGGATTTGTTCTTTGTAAGAGGTTTGTGTTTTGACTCAATCTGAGCCAAAGTTAAGCTTTTGTGTTTTTGTGTAAATATTTTGGTAGTAATAATAGTTTTGATGTAATATTTTTGTATTGGGGGAAATAAAGCAAGTGTGTGTGTATTGCAGCAATCAAATACATTTTTTTGCATACTGAAAAGGGTTACAGCCATGGGCAAATAATGTATTTATCTTAGAAAAAATGCTAAGACATATACGTGATATCAGTCACAATAAAACAAAGGGGAGAATATACATAGTCAATACAAAGTCAGATGATATTATTCATTCAATTAAATAAAATGAACGACATACGCAAAGTTGTTGTGTTGATACTTTTGCTTGGTTTCTTTCTTCAAACATAATACATGAGGGTTTAGAGTAATTTGGGTTGATGAATATGAGATTTTACTTAAAGTCTGATTAGGTCATAAAACAATTGGAGTCAATATTAACAATATTAAATCTATCCTAGTTCTGGGTACAGTGCCAATATTAAATAAATACCTAAAATTCCAAATATGTTTTTAATTAAATCCACCTGGGACTTTCACTGGATAAATGGGTATACTGTAAAGCCTATATCACCATATAGAATATTAATATACAGTACATGTATGTTCATATTATTGCATATGTTTATTTATAGTCTCAGACCCAAACAGTTGAAACAAATACATTCACTTTTTATTACCATCTGTGGCACACTCCTCACTACATATTAATGGAGTCTTCCATCATCCTCACTGTGCTAACTGCACACCTCAACATTCATGACTATGCTCACTGCAGCTCTAATATGAGACTGGAGAACCACACAAAATGGAATACTGAAGCTAAAATATCACAGGGGAGCATTTTAACACAAAACCACGAAGGAAAGTAGATTAAACATTATGAAGGCGGAAAACGGTATAGGCCTACTTGTTTTAAAAGTTGAGTAGGCCTATAGCAGCATCTGACCTACGCAAGTAAAGACCTTGTTTATACAGTCTATGGTAAAGACAGAAAAAAAACATTATTAACCGTTACATGTAATGTCACGCTCTTAGTTGACATATTGACATTAATTGAACTGTATCGAGTTCTTGCTTTTGTATGCGTATTATCAAACAAGCACATATTTGTGTGGGTAACTGCCGGGGACAAAAAGCTCACGCGAGTCTGCGCGTGTGTTCACCGTTGCTTGCTTAGCAACGGCCCTAGCAACAGCACAAGGTGTTTCGTTAGAGAGCTAGCGTTAGCTCATGATAACTTTGCACAGGTACCAAGATGAGTTCAGCCAAAAAGAAGCCAAATATAGCTGAGGGTCTTTCATTCCTACCACCAGCTCTACCTCAGGTACGTTTATAGAGCACTAAGTGAACTGTTGTGACCTCGTTTTGAAAGGTGTTTCAGTTTATTAACGCTGCGACTTCTAACTGACGTTATTAAATTTAGCTCAGCTGGTCGTGACACTAATACAACAGTAAAACAAATGTTACCACTTTTAAATTGAAACTTCCTCTGTTCAATTGTGTTCTGTTCTGAAAACCTGAAATTATGTGTCTCAAACCTACACCAACCTAAATTGTTAACTCCATTGTGCAGCTCCACAGAAAACAGCCGTGGATAGATACAAAACCTTCATTTTCGCCGTATCCCCCACTCAAGCGGAAACGTGAGTCCAATGTTTAAAGCCTGAGTTTGTATAATAAATACATGCATAACAACTTTTGGTACCTCATTTGTATTCATTTCAATGCCAAAACTTTGACTTGTAACAGAGCGTTTTTGCAATTAGTGTTGTAAGTCTTACTCAAAATAAAAATCTGAGTAGCTTATTCCATCACTGATTTCACAAGCACTGTTTCTGTTGGCCCTGTGTGCGCTGCCTGCAGGAGTTGGTCTGACTAAAGGAGTGCACAGTAGACCGGTTCAGAGTCAGGGCACAGGTCAGAACGATCTTGAGAGCAGAACAGCAGATCAGTTCAACAGAACCTCCAAGCACTGCATCAGCACCCATACAGAACTCATGAATGAGAAGGGCAAGATTCTCCGGGAAACTCTGGTTAAATTCATATGGTGAGTTCCTGTATTTTTTATAAAACTTTATTTTACGTCTCCCATTTCATTTCCAATGATGTATTTATACATCTCTAATTCAGTGTCACTCACCTCTGATATATGTTATATAGAAGGACATTTATAACTAACTATTTTAAAAGATATGGATTTAGAATTGTATTTTGATGTGTTTTACCTATAGGCCTACTCTTTGTAAAAATATGACCTTATTTTCGGAGCAAACTTCATATGCTAATGAAATAATCAGTTAAAGAAATAAAGAAAATAAATATATGTATATCTATAATTTACATCTATCAAATAAAAGTATATACAGAATAAGTTGGCATCTACTATAATGGGCCAATCTACTACTAGAAAGGCAACTCTGTACTGTTAATCATACCACCACTGCTACGTATATTACACTATTACAGATAGGAAATTGTGTACAAAAACTGTTAATTGTCGTGGCTCCCATTTCTTTAAGCTTGCAAGAAAAAGAGGACAGCCCCGCGCCAACATTTGGCTCCTCCAAATCCACAACAAAGACAAATCGTGGAAAGGTGAATAGCTGCCATACTTGATATGCCATATAATACATAACAAGCTCTCTTTGCTGTATGTGTGACATAATGAAGAAGTTGCGCCCGTCATTTTTTTAATGCTTTTCAAGACACTTGATATGGTAGCCTTTTATTACTGTTTTGTTTTGTTGGTCTCAATGGTTACAGTTGCTAGGTCTGTTTCGTTCTTTGTGCAGTCTTCGTTTTCTTTACCTAAAAAACACGTACATATCTTTTGATGTATTGGAAAATTCTTGTACTAAGGTCCAAGCAAACTGAAGCTTTTTACTTGTATGTACTTTTTCCACATTTGTATAGTTATAGTTGCAGCATAAACCAGTAAACACTCAATAGAAATAATGATTTTGATCAGTTTCACAGCATTGGCCTTTGGAAAAGAAATATTTACAAACACAAATTGTATTATTTCTGTAATCAGCACTTACACCAACATGTTTTTAATGTGTGTTAGGCATTGTTTGTTTGAAATGTCCTAAAAATGTATTTCGTCAGGGATATGATAACTACATCCAGAAGGGGATAGACCTGGAAGATGTGTCTCCTCTGGAGGACTCTTGGCTGGAGAGCATACAGGACATGATACCATGCCACCTGCAGAGCCTGAGCACACCTTTTCATCTGCTGGTCGACGAGATCAGAGAGGAATACCTGCTCAGCGTCAAGGAAGCAATCGGTATTTTAAGTACATTTAATATCAACCTTTGCTATTTTGTTAACACTTGGCCCAACAATTCTTAATGGCTGAATTCATACAAATTAAATTGTTATGCACAAAACAGTGGTGATAAATTATTTGTTGATGTTTGATTTAATGTATTTTTTTTGATTGCAGTGAAATATATATTTGGAGATTCAGGGGACAGTGACGAAGACCAAGTGAAAGATCTGCCCCCTCACAGGCTTGAGTAAGTCAGCAGGAAGTGACTGAGAATGCTTCATGTGTATCTTGTGAGAAGTATAAAGTGACTCCCCTTACTCATACTGTGGAGCATCAGACCCGGCGGCGCCAGAGCAAATCTGCAAAGAAGGCATGTTTTTTTCATGGGAGGGCCCAAAGAAATGTCATGTGGGGGGCGGCACAAATTAAATATCAGTAAGACAGCATGGCTAACAGCATTGCTTGAAGACGCGCGCCTCTCGCAAGTATGCACAAATAAACAGCAACTACAAACCACCTTTGGAACCACGTATTGTTTGGGAGTCAGCACAAACACCGGTAAACCACATGTGCCTAAATTCACATCAAAAAGAATCACAGCAACAGCTTTGCGTGGGCCTTACACTTGACCAACCACTGCCTACAGCAGCAATGAAATCTACACAGTACAGAGCGACAACACGTTATGCACTGAACAGCACTAAACCTTTTTTATGTCCATTTTTGGCCTAAAACAAGATAAGCCGGCTACATATTCCAAACTCAGAAGAACTCCTGAATGTTTTGGATTGACTTATAATATAGATCGTAGCATTAAAGTCCAAAGATGGGAAAAGATGTCAAAGGTAGGACCTTGCCCTACCTGGCCCCCCACAGCGCCTGGCCTGTGTTGCATGGATCATATGAGGATGCCAAATAGAGATTACTTGTATTTCTCTGTGCATATAAAATCTGGGTTTTAATAATAAGTGACTTGTACCTTTAAAAATGATTGAATACAATATAATGCAAGAGTTCAAAATAAATGTCCGAGTGTTATCTTTCACTGTTAGACTGGAGGTTTTGGAAAAACCATGGAACAAAACCTTTGTCCTTGCACGAAAGAAGATGGGGAATAAGCTTCACTCCATCAACCCCACTATGCTGAATGTGCTTTACATTTGGCATGCATTTTACAAGTAAGTATGCTATAATACTTTTCTAGCTTTTGTCCCAAAAAACAAAATGGGTTGAAATTATTTGTAATGGAATTGAAATCCTAGGTTCCGAGTGAGTTTGATAGACATTGGTCAACCAAATATTTCTAAAAAGTGTCAAAAAACTACTATGTGCGATATATGTATTTTATTTTGTAATACTTCATTACAAAGTAAGACACTTTGTGTGACAAGTAAACATCAGTATGTGAACCTCATTGCGTAAGAGTAAATGCAACTTTTGTACTTTTATGTCAAGCTATTATTCATTATTGAATGTTACTGTAAACTCTACACATCAAATAGTAATTGTATTTATATTAAAACACCAAAGCCCTTGGTCTGCTGAAAATGAAACCACAGTTAATACAAAACATATTTGCATGAATCATTTCCTGTTTTAATGGGAAAGAGTTTTCCTGTTTTCTTATTTTCTTGAATTTGTATCCAGACTGTCTACAGTTAGCAATGTTTTGTAAATATATATTTGTTGCTATTCTAAACTAGATGATTGCTGAAGTCAATAAGTGTTTGCTTATCATCTCACCTGCTTGCAGACATTTACGCCTGATAGATGTAGAGGAGTTCCACAGCAGAGAGGAGTCCATGGAGCTCTCTGTGTTTCAGCAAATTGTCAACAGACAAATTGACAATGCCAGAGAAGTCCTCCTCAAAAAGTGAGTCCACATTATTACTTCACTCCAACATACTGTACCTGTACTCAGTTAAAAATAATCAGGAGTCATTTGGAACAAAGGAGAGAAACAATCAACTTTTAAAGGCAATACAAATTAGAAAGCAGATACATTGTATTTCTGTTTGACAGCTCTATAAGCAGTTGTTAACTGGGACATCTTTTTAGCTGCAATCCATAAAGTATTAGTATTTTGTAGAAACCTCGAGTCGTAGCCATATGAAGCTTTCACATCACCTGTCTCTCCTTATAGCGCCCCCATGAAAAAGAATCCCCTTCTTATTAGCACGTCAACAGTATATTACAACAATGTGAAGTATATCTACCCAACCTTATGAGATGATCTGATGATCTATCTTGCATACTAAATGTCTTTTATTCTTTCTTCTCTAGCATACATGTACTAGTACTGCATTTTGTTGTGCAGCCGTTTGTTGCAGAATGTCCATAAATGATCCTCACTATGGACCTCCACACTGCTTTGTCCTTTTTTTCTAATAAAATACATTTTTAAGGACATTAACTAACAAATTCTTTTTTTTTAGAGATGACACTTCCTTTTCTCTCTAAAGATAACTAGCAAGTACATAATACTGTACGCACAAATGGGAAACACAAAGAAGAGCTAATTAAAACGATAACGCTGACATTTGGGACTAAGCTCCTTTCAATTTCTGTTCAAGTCTTCTGTATTCACATTTTTAAGATGCATAATAAACACATCATCTGAATCTGGATCTTGCTGTTTTCTTCACCAGCTGGGTTCCCGAAGTGCACAACATTTTCTACCAGGGGTGCAGGTCCCAGCTGGTGCCTGCCTCCAGCAATATGCCCAAACTGCTTTCTTTCTTCAACTGTGCGGCTACACTGATGACAATGCAGCTGCAGAGCCTTGCAATAGACTCCATGAGGGACTATACACGGCTCATTTCCCAAGACCCGGTAGGGGAAGGCTAAGCAATTTCCAGCAAATACAATTTGAAAAAAGTTGAAGTTACTTCCCTGAAAAAAACATAATTGTATTTGATTTTGTCCTACATGAAATGAAGACACTAAAATCTTTTTTTCACCTTGTTTTGGTTTGGTCCACCCCCTCTTAGAAGTCAGAGCGGGCCTATGAGCACACAGGCTTTGTGCTGCATCTGATCCTGGAGGACGGAGACATCAAGTTCGAGCCTGAACTCAAACAGTACGAGGAGGCCCTCCTTAACGTCTATCAGCTCATGCTCAGGCCTATCAACATGGTACCACGAGTGGAAACCAAACTCTACTTTGAGTGGGTAAGATAAACAGTGTTTGTGTGTGTGGTATACACTCAGTAGCATTGCCAGTATATTATGTACATCGAGCTAAAACTGAAAAAAGTACTGCAATAGGTCCTACATTTATAGGGTTATAATGTTAAGTCTATTTGGGATCATTTTGGAGTCTGATCACAGATAATTACATTTTGTTTCATTTGATTTGATTTTATAATATTGGGTGGACAACACTTCTTTTTTTTATATAATTGTTCTTTTTTATTTATTGTGCCTTTGCTGTAACAATGTACATTTAATAAAGGACCTCTGATTTCTGGATAGAAACCCCTGTGATTACAATGCTGTACAGTTGAACAGCACCACCGAGTGGATTTTGAGTTGAATCAATATCGCTCTAAAACAAGAAAAAACTCAGTATATATCAATAGTGCCTTAGCAATAAGCAGCACATTGTGAGTGATTTAATCACTTGAAGTGGTTGTTCTTTTCTTGTCATGTTGTCAGGATCTCTTATTCTGTGAACCATTCTTGTTTGTTCCAGCAAAGCTCCCAGTGTGGAAGCACTCTAAAGCCCATCATCCTGCCGGAGATCCTGGAGGCGCAGCAGGAAGAGGTGCTCCGTGTTTTCCTGGCTGAGTGTGTCAGGCCCAAGGAGTATGTCCATGAGTATGATAAATACTCCCCGCTGGTTTCCAGGCAGGCGGAGGAGGATGTGGAGCAGTTCCTCAGTGAGCAGCACTCCTTCCAGGACATCATGGCAGAGGTGGTCCACTACCAGCAGCTCGCTGACCAGATCCAGTACACATCGTGCCAGGTACTTGGTCAGGAAGGTGGCAATAGGTGTATGCGAAAAAACAAAACCTAAAGGGACACAGCACATTTGGAAATAATGCAAAAAAAATGCTTGGTTGGTACAAAAGTGAGCGTAAATAAAAATATGAATTAGAAAAAGTAATGGATGAAAACAAGAATTCATTTTCATTCCCTGTTGCCGATTTTTTCTGTATATTCCTTTTAAACTAGGTTAACATTTATACGGAAAATTGAAAAATGTGATGGCTAATGTGCTGGCTAATATAAGTTATAATATGGCTAATAAAAGTTATTAGCCATCACATTTTCTTATATAAAACTGTTAGCTTTTGTAAAATCCAAAGAAACTTAAAAGGTACAAATCATTTCCGAGAGTAAAATGTTGAGGGACATTAATGAGGTTGCTACTTTTTCTCCCTCTCATTCCTCCCTTTCTGATATTTACCCTAATGCCTGAACAATTTGAATCTGCAATCTCAAATGCAACAAACTTTAGATATTGAAATTGATATATTTTTTAATTGACGTTAATTGTGTTACTGACAAATACTTTGGGTTATAGGTAGTGCGCCTCGGCATGTTTGAGGTTCAGTCCCAGAATCTCATCCACTCTCTCGTCAAGCGTGCTGAGGAGCTCCAGCAGAAAATGGTCACTCGCATGCTGCAGGACCATCAGGAGATCAACAAGAAGTCAGTTAGTGTGCTGTTTAACTGAAGCTTTTTCACAATAGATCCACGCCAAAAGAAATCCAAATGCAGCTCAAGCAAGTTATTGTTTTTGATCAAAGTTGACAAGGACATATATCAGTTTCTGCTTTACATACATTCCTGACCTTTACATAGAGAATCTTTAGAGTTTAGACATTAGTTGGCCAATGGGGTGCCTCGAAATATACATCGTGCTCATCCTTTTAAAACCTAATGTTGGCTGCTGTCTTGTCCTCTTTCCCAGTGGTGCATCTGCTCCAAGCAGTGCCATAATTAGATGGTAAGTCTGTGAAACTCTTCAGATTTGTCACTGAATTAATGCTCTCTCCCTTCACAGGCTCTGTAATGAATTTGAGAAGATGGCAGAGAAGGCACTGAGCACACCCAATGACACGCAGGAGCTGATGGAGCTTAAGGTAACTAACTAACTAACAACCTGAAATTCTTGTCACACAGACTAGCTTGATGCAGTATTTTCCAGTGTCTACAAATGTCCCTCAAACTAAGCAGTTAGACGTCGTCCAATAACAGACAAAGTATCGAGCATAAGCTTGTTTGCTACATAGGACTATGTCCTGACACTGACTCTATACTGTAACTCATCTCATGCATTACATTTACACACAATATTTGAGCAAATGTTATTTCATACTATGAACCTTCCACATTCCTCTTTATATTCTGTACATTTCTGCAAAATGCTACCTCTTTAAAGAGTCCCTATAATGCTTTTAGGGGTTTCTCTTTCCTGTAGTGTGTTATAAAGGTTTTTGTTAATGTAAAAGGTTTTTGTTCATGTAAAAGGCTAAAATCCAAAAGTTCACGCCCGTTACTCTCCCACAATTGGACTTGTTTGTTTACTTCGGTAACATAGTGAAATTACTATGTTACACCCACGCTTCTATTGGCTAGTGTTCCATCACATTGTAAGTGATAGGCTAAGGGACGGGAAATCTCTATGCTGTTGACTACAACAGAGCCGGCCAGCTAACCAATCAGAGCAGACTGGGCTCTGGTTTCAGACAGAGGGTGAGAAGAGGTGCTGCAGCACAGGCAGTATGAGAAAAATAAAGAGCTTTTTGAACATTAAAGCATGGAGACGTGTCAAAGTAAAGACAGGAAATACAAATATGAACCTGAGAATGAGCATAAAATGTCTCTTTAAAACAGTGCAGTGAACTCACACACTGAAGGAGAACGGTGATTCTCATGTCCGTTTAAAGCACAGGAATAGATGTCTGCTGAACCAAAGTTGACTAAAATAGAGAAAGATATTCCTGTCCGAAGTTCCTCTCCATTCTTGTACCAGATGTAGGAATTATTATCAGGTACATGACAGCTGGTCTGACACTTCAGCTCTGCCTGGCCTGAATACGCTCTGCTCACCTTCAACTGGAGATCTGGATCTGTGAAGAAGAAACAGGAACAAAACTCTACATACATATGTCTAAAAACCACACCGCTCTACATTAAATTATTTTGAGCTACTGAGCTTTTGGAAATATAAAACATGAGTGTTACCTGTGACAGACAGAGTGACTCCAGGTATACCAATATATGATACATCTTCTTGGATGGTATCAAACCTGAACCAGTACTCAGCTGAGTCGCTCTCTCTCAGGTTTCTGATTCTCAGAGTGCAGATGTTGTTTTCACAGAGATCCTCAACACGACCTGCATACTCTGAGTCTGTGGTCAGATCTACAGGATGCCAACCGTCGTGTTTAGTGAACCAGAATCTTTTCTCAATTAAGTTAAAGCTGCCTTTCCATGTAGAAGGGAATGTGTAGGTGCTTCTTATTTCCACTGTCGATCCTTTCACTGCACAGAACTCAGTAGAAGTGTAAGTCACTCCCCAGTCATCAATACCCTGAGCCACTGAAACACAGAGCACATCAGAAACTATTATCAGACTCATATCAACATCAGGAGAAACATTTTCATTGGTGAAGCTGCTTAGTCCACATTTCTCACAACTACATATTCTCCAACGCCATCAAAGTAAAATAAGGTTATAGCAGCAACCTTTTTCAGGGTAAAACTCTGACTGTTTTACTGCATATTTATATTATTTCTACCTTTTTGTCTTCATTGGATGGACCCCCTTTTTGTACATGGCTTTCTCTAACAGGTGAGCTACATGAGTGCCCCCTGTCGTTTAATTTGACTACACTGAGCCTAGGGTTGAGGTTGAATTGTCATCAAAAATCAGGTCCTATTGTTAAGGTTGAGCAGCGCAGGGCAGACCCAAGTGCAGACAGACAAATGTTTTGACTGAAAATAAACCTTATTCAGGGAAACTGGATAAATGCAAAACCGACAAGTACTCTCATTCCCTCTAATCGCAATAAGAACACACTATTTAGATTTTATTCATAAACATAGCATCTTCTGCATTTCTGAGGTGCATTCACTGCCTTCAAATATAAAGAGATGTATAGTACCTTGTGTAGAGAGAAGGAAAACTACAAATCCTCTCGCTGGTAAACTCATAGCTGCTCCTCTCGTCTCTGATAAATCAGGTATCACATACAAGAGAAATGGGACGTTTCCTCTGTTGCTATGTCAATGTGCTAAAAAACTGCCGGGGATCCCTTCCTCTTTTCAGTTTGAAAATAGAGATACCTGAAATAAGGCTTTAGGTTGAAATGAAGAACCTATTCCTGATATGGTTTTGCAAACGATGCATTCAAACAGCTGGACATGGGCAGCCTTAAAGCCACAATGTGTGTAAAAACGGGAACGAACACAGTGCATGGTAGTTATGTTGTGAAAAATCATCTTTAATGTTAGTGTTAGAGCCAGTATTTTATTAAAAAAAAGCCACCTAATCGTGACGTCTGTAGTCAAAACAGTATAAAAGACTACAACTCCCACAGCGCCTCCTCTAAAGTGACAGAGATGGGCAACCCGTCAGAATGACACCGTCGAGGAACAGTCTTTAACCGCTCAACTATCATTTAACTTACAAAGTGATACAAGCCTTAACATCGAAAGAAAGCAAGAAAGAATACATACGTTGTTTATTATTTTATTTGAGTTTTGCCTCTTTTGTTTTGACGATTGTAAAGGCCTGTTTTCTTTGTGTAAAAAGCTTGTTATTTTATTTTGAGAATTGCACAATATCATCCCACCATCGGAGGCCAAGCAACTCATCAACTGTGAGTGGCACAAGTATAAAGGAAAGGAAAGGAGTTAGAAATGTGTGTTTAAGGCGTCTAGTAGCTTGATAGAAAATAATGAAGGAAGCCACGACAGTTAGATCTGCTCTCCACCTGTAGTATTATGGTATGAGGTGCAGGCTGTGCACAGATCTCAGTAGAAGTGTGACTAACCAACCGGTCTTTCTGATGCTTTACCAGAAACTCTTATTAAACCCTGTTTTTTCAAAGATGTACCCCTGCCCTCTACACTTCATATTTTTGAACGCACTGTGATGGAAATGTCCAGATGTGTGAGAAATCCTGTGTTTTAATCATTTGCAAATAACAAACTGCTGGTGTCTTATAAATGATGCCTGGTGATGACTGAACTGGATCTGCTGACGTTTGATTTTTAGTATTAATATCAATATAATTCATACAGAGAATATTCAGCCAAGCTTAACATCGACATTTTTCACTTTTTAAATGTGTATTTATTAACTCTCACTTGATAAAAATGGCAGAGTAGACAGTTACGTTACAGACGGACAACCTAACATATTGGTCTCTTGGAAAACAGCAAGATTACTTTTCCAAAAAGCTAAAAAAAAAGGATTAAAATTAAACTCAGGTACATTTGTATAGTTTTTACACTTTAGAAACTATAACAATTCAGAAAAAGAGAAGGAAACCAATAGCAGTCCCATTTTCAAGATGTACTGTCTGATTAAACATTGAAGCACAATCTATGATGAGGTTTAAAGAATAACTTACACATGTTTTAAAGAGGAAGAAACAAGTTACAGATATGTATAAAGGATACTTAGAAGAACAGCTGTGAGAAAGAGAATGAGGAACTGGTTTAACCTTCATTTAACAACAAGGAGTCAAATGCAAGCATCATTTTAGAAATACAAAAATAACACATATCTATACGTATATAAATATTTGAAAACGTGGAATGAATGGATTAAATATGAGGATCAAAATTCAACAATAAGTAAGGCGTTTGAAGAATCAACCTGTGTGTGTGTGTGTGTGTGTGTGTGTGTGTGTGTGTGTGTGTGTGTGTGTGTGTGTGTGTGTGTGGAAGAGAGGGTGACATAGGGTCGTTGTATTTTTTTGTTGACCGCAAGTTTTAGGATTGCTTTGATCATTATAACAATGTCTATGTAAAACAAGCTGATCATCTCATTTTTCATTAAACTACATTATTATTCACTACAATTTGGATTTCAGCAAAGTATTTTTTTGATAGCGTGTCATACAATAGCAAACAGGCCCGTCCTCAGCCTCCCAGCAACTTTGTTTGTTTCCTGCTGTCGATACAATTGGTCTAAAGCCACCTCTGAATCCACTGGTGTTCCTCCAGCAGGCCTAATCACCAGTGTGAATGATGGGAGAGTAAAAAGGGAGGAAGTCCCCCTCCCCTCCCTCCCCTCTCCTCCCAACTCTCCCTCTCTATCTCTACCACCATGAGCATCTGCCCAGAAATGAACAGATGTAGGCACCTGCGTTCTGGGCTCACATATGCGCACATGTCCCCCTCCCAAAACAAAACAAAAAACCCCTTTCAACCTTCCCTGAGACCCGGAGCCCACCACAATGGGGGACAGATCAGGGATGCAGTAACCAAATACTGCCGATCCCCCCAGGACCCCCGCTCTGTTAGAGGCATTGTCACCAGTTATATCAAGTGGCTGCACCAAACAATCTGCTGTATGACTGCTCATTTCAGACATGACATAATGCAGAGGGACAGAGAGGGGGAGGCGGGGGAGGGAGGCGGAGGACAGAGGTGGCGTCTGGAGGATTTCTACAGTATGGATCCAATATCCAGAGGTCAGAATCAGAATCCCTTTAATAGTCCCTCAGAGGGGACATGTACGTTGTTAGAGCAGAAAAGAGACAAAGACAGCTTAGTGTTTCCTAAAGCATGCATCAAAAAGTATTACAGATTAAAAAAAGGTGGGAGAAATACTCAGATCTTGTACTTTAGTAGAAGTACCAGAGTGTAGGAATACTGTGTTTATCATGGATGGTATTATAAAGCAGTATTTATATGGTGGCTGTAATGGAGGGTGTTTCCAGAGGTGTAGAGTAATTGATTTACTCAAGTTCTTTACTTTAGTTTTGGTGAAGTCAATTCTTTTCATGCTGATCCTTTTCTAATCTGACTAACGAAATGTTTTCCAATGTGAGACTTTTACGTACAAAGTATTTCTCAGGGTTGTGAAGTAACATTACTGAAGTACTGTACTTCAGTTTTGAGGTACTTTTTTTGCTACAGTGTTCTTTTCCTCCACTCCATGTATTTAATACCTTTAGTACTTTAGAACACTTTAATGATCAATCATTATAAAACATATCATATATATTATTCTGAAATGGACCAATCTGCACAATGACTACTTTTACTGTGGCTACTTTAACTATATTTTGATGCTAATACTTTTCTACTTTTACTTGAGGAACATTTTGAATGCAGGACTTTTACTGTAACAGAGTATTCCTACACTCTGGTACTTCTACTTTTACTCAAGAACAAGATCTGAGTACTTCTACTTTTACTCAAGTACAAGATCTGAGTACTTCTACTTTTACTCAAGTACAAGACCTGAGTACTTCTACTTTTACTTAAGTACAAGATCTGAGTACTTCTACTTTTACTCAAGCACAAGATCTGAGTACTTCTACTTTTACTCAAGTACAAGATCTGAGTACTTCTACTTTTACTCAAGTACAAGATCTGAGTACTTCTACTTTTACTCAAGTACAAGATCTGAGTACTTCTACTTTTACTTAAGTACAAGATCTGAGTACTTCTACTTTTACTCAAGTACAATATATATATACTTATACCACCTC